TTTGGACAACATATCAGTGACGTCGAGATCCCAAAGACAATATAAGCAACAAATGTTATTGATTTCAGTTAGGCTGGATCAATGGGAAGCTTGCATGTGTAGAGCATTTGGGATGACATTAACGGATCCAACAGTGACATAGTTCGTTAGTTTGCCCAACGAAGGAATCAACTCATTCGCAGAACTCGTCAACCTGTTCAACCAACAATTCGCAAGCAGCTGAGTCCTCGAAAAACAGAATAGTGACCTTTACCTAGTAATCCAATGTCTGAATGAATCTTTAAGAGATTATTTACACAGGTTCAATAAGAAAAAGTGTTGATCCCAAAATCTGACGACTCTACTATCATTGAAGCATTCAGAAGAGGTTTGTATGAAGATTTAGAGTTGTACCACGAACTGACGAAATACCCTTGTCGGTCCTTCGAAGTGTCCAAGCAAAGATGTTGGCTTTCATCCATCTAGATGAAGGCTTATGATCCCGTCAAAGACAAATTGAGCACGAAGGGGGGCACGGGAAATCAGAATCTCCTAAGAGGCATGATTACAAGCATGGAAACCCATATTTCAGACCTGAGGGATAAGTCGTCACTTCTGTGACGAAATAGATCAGACGACATGATTGAAGTCTGTTAGGTCCCCTAGATTTTGATATTCAATGTAATAGTTTTGATGATGCCACCCTCTTTTTGGATTATTCCTGTAGTAACTTATCTACTCTTGTTTCAAGTTGTGTAATTGTAATATGCTCCTTATTTAGTGGATAAAAGTACTCATAAAAAGCAAAGAGTACTAAAAAGAGAAACCGTACCATGAACAAAAGAAACAAAGTGAGAAAAAGGTATGAAATGAGCTAAATCCGTATTCAAGTGACAAATTACTAATGTACAATTTTTGTACCAAATAAAGCTTTACTGGAAATATAAAATGCAATAAGGTAAATTTTGTTTACCTTAAAAAGGATATTTAAATCCAACCAGTATAAACTTTATCTGATATAAAAGATTAAACAGTCACTATGAACGGTCTATTATGACAAATCAAAATGTACAAATTTTGTACCAAATAAATTTCACTGGAAATATAAAATGCAATAAGGTAATTTTCTTTAACCTTAAAAGGATATTTAAATCCTACCAGTACAAATTTATTTGATACAAAAAGGCTAAAGTCACAAACTTGCTAAAATTCTAATTAGAACACGGTATACACAATACAAGGAATAAACTATACACTATACGCATATAGTTGCAGGCAAAGCCAAAACATATTGAAAAGTGAATAGTGCATGAAGGCCTAAGGTATGGGTACGCATACTGTATTCTGAAGATAGAATTGCAAGTAACGCTGAGAAGATAAAAGAAAATCTCTTTCAACCTGCTCAAACACAAGAAGATGAAAATACAATACATCCAACGTCAAAGATTAACTCCTCTTAACCAACGGAGGAGATTAATCAACCGAAGAAGCCTATAAATACAGGCACAAGCATGAGTTCAAAATCAAGTTTTTGAGAGTCTTCTAAGTAGAGTAAATCATACCGAGCATCCAAGAGATATCTAGCAAAAGAGAAAGTGCTTGATTCAGACTATACTCTCTGCTTAGACTCATGCTTCACTAAACTTCCAAGTTAGAATTCACATTACTACATTCTGGAAGTTTAGTTCTTAGTTGGAGGCTAGAATTTTTGTTATATTACAAATCGTTGTAAACACTTAGAAGGATAGTGTTATATAGTCCTAAGTGTGGATCAATAGAATAAAGTACCTTTTGTTCTCCACTAGATCAATTGAGAAAATCTAAGGATTGAGTAGCTTGGAGTGGTGTGTACTCCTTGTGAAACACCTTTCAATCTAGGCTAGTTGTGTGAGTATAGCCAGATTGACATTAAGTGTATTGGGCTTAATACTTTAGTGGAAATCCATCTGAAAGAGGGTGTGACTGGATGTAGGAGGATTACACCACCTTTGAACCAGGATACATCGTGTGTTGATTTATTCTCAGTCAACAAAGCACACACCAAACATTTGCTTAATCAAGCCACCCCGGATGTCTGGGATGAACTAACAAAGGTTGGAACTGGAGATGAGCAAGAAAAGGACAACAAGCTGACCATTGCTCACAAGAGGTTTAAAGACTTCAAAATGCTGCCAAATGAATCTGTCCATGAAATGAAGTCTAGATTTCTGAAAATTATAGCAGAGGTATCCAGTGTTCTAAAAGGCGCTAGGCACTAGTCGGGCGGTGACTGGCCGCCTAGCGCCTAGCCCTCCTAGGCGAGCGCCTAGGCGCCGACTAGGGCGCCTAGGTATTTTTCTTTATTTCTTTGTTTTTTTTTTTTTTAATTTTCATTGAAATTTAAATATATTACCAATAATTTTATATTATTTCGAAAATAGAAATAGCTCATAAAATCATTAGATATTATGGTTTATGTATAAAAATTATAAATAATAAAATAATTAATAGAGAAATGTAGAGATTTATATATTTTTAGTCTCTAAAAATGTATATATACACTCTAAAATGTTATAAATATGTTAAAATTATTTTTATCGTAGTAATATGAAGCTAAACTATATAGAAATAGAATACTTATTGATCAAACGTAGTTTTAAGTCAAAACGGGGAAAAAAGTTGAATCGGGGAAAAGATTAATCCGGACCGCCTAGCCCGCCTAGGAGCCCGCCTAGGCGCCCGACCGATTTTTTCGACCGATTACACCAAAATCGGGGCGCCCGGCCACCGCCTAGCGACTAGGCGGGCGCCTAGCCCGATTTTTAGATCTATGGAGGTATCTGACCTAGGGAAAGTTCTCTCCCAAAAAGAAATTTCCCTTAAGGTTTTGAGAGGAATGCCCTCAAAGTGGGATATGAAGGTTACTGCCATGAGAGATAACAGAGATCTCATAAGTCTCTCAACAGATAAGCTTTTCAGTGATCTTAAAGCTTATGAGTCTGAGATGAAGAAAATCAAGGAAGAAAAGGAAGAAATCAAGACACAGTGTCTGTACCAAGCACATCAAAATCTACTGAGAAATCTCTCAACAACCTCCTCACTGATGAACAATTTGCAATGTTTGTGAGGAAGTTTAAAAGATTCATGAAGAAGGAGAGATCTGTCTCAAAGAAGCCATACACTCAGCCTTTCAGAAGACAAGGAAGACTCCAATCAGGTGAGAACACCGTCCTATGCTACAACTATAGATAGCCAGGACACTACAAAAATGAGTGTCCTCTTCCATTGGCACACAAATATCAAGGGCAGCAGACTACTGCTCAAAAGGCTGGATACAAAGACTTCATAGGTAAACGTCAAGCCTTTGTAAGGGAGAAGAAGAAGGAAGATTCTCAAAGTGATGAGGAAAGTAGTTCGAGCAATGACTAATTTTTTTTTTGGCAAAAGTTAATATAACTGACTTTTATAATTAGAAATATACAATTTTCTCTCCTACGATTTCAAAATTAATTTTATAATAATTAAAAGTTTTAATTAAATTTTGTTTACATATTTACGTTTTTATACTCCACCATTTGTGATTGTAAAAAAAAATATACTCCACCATTTGTGAATGTTTACAGGTTTAGGTATACGTTAAATTTATTCCTCCACCTTTATCTCTTATTTTTCTCTCCTACAGTTTATAAATAAATTAATGTTGTAATTAAATGTTTTAATAAAATTGTGTTAACCAATACCAGTAAAACACATCAACAATTATAACTAGGCTTTGCTATATAAAACTACAACCATTGTTATCATGAAAAAAATCATATCACACGGAAGTGGGGGGAGTGTTTAGTGAATAAGAGGCCGTGTATTGAATTACTTAGGGGTGGGCAATTCGGTTTACGGTTCGGTTTTCTTCGGTTTCGGTTTATTCGGGTTGGGAGAATTTGTACCAAACTAAAACCATTTGTGTTTCGGTTTGGTTTCAGTTCGGTTTCGGTTCGGTTTGAAGTTCGGTTTACCAAAGTAAAAAATATTATTTTTAATTTAGTTTGGTTTTATTTGTTTGCTTATGTTTATTATTTTATTTGATCAAGATCTATATATATTTTAGCATTAGAAAATGAAAGTAGTAGTCCATCTCATCTTTTTTTAATTTATTGATTATTTAAATAAAATGTAAAAGGAAATAAAAGACAGAAAAATAAATAACAAAATATTATAAATTAAAACTTCTAACATCTTTTTTTATCACTACAAAAAATTCACTTCTTACAAAAAATAAGATAGTTGATTAACATTTATAATATCACATAAAATATTCAAAAAATCTAAAAGAGTCGGTGGTACAAATGTTGTAATATTCACGATTTTATTCAAATGAATCATGTAATAATATAAATGCAATTTGCTATTGTTATCCCCAAACATAATAAATACTCCGTACAAATATGTCGTATTAGCTAACTTTGTCATAATGAATGTATGAAATGTGTAAAAATTAAAATGATACGAGTATATGCTTAAATATGTATTTTCATGTCTAAATTATTTATTTATATCTTCAAAATGAAGAGTGAAGATAAATACAAAGTATATATATATATATATATATATATATATATATATATATATATATACTTCGTATGTGTGTGTATTAAAAATGATACGTTGTTTGGTGTTTGGTTCAGTTTAGGTTTTCCGTTTTAAACCAAACTAAACCAAAGTACCAAACTATTCAGTTTGAGCAAATGTTTACCAAACGGTTTACTTAAGTAAACCCAAACCAAACCAAATCAAACCACCAACTTTAATAATATATGAAAGTTTTTTTGAGTTTCTTTAGTTCGGTTCGGTTTTGTTCAGTTTTTATCGGTTTCGGTTTGGTTCGGTTCGGTTTAATACGATTTGAAAGAAATAGTACCAAACTCAAACCAAATTGCATACGGTTCGGTTTCGGTTCAGTTTGGTACGGTTCGGTTAAACCAAACCTTTATGGCCACCCTAGAATTACCTTTCATAAAATCGCCCCTTGGGAGACATCCTGCAACTATACAGAAAAGAGTATGGCCACTGGGCAAGCATGACACGCACAAAATCGCCCTATACCGTAAATTAGGGGTATGTTGATCAAGCTGGGAAGGCGGGAACAACCGGTTGCAACATATCCATAGAGAGAGTATGTGATTTGTGGTGGCATCATCGTCTGAATCCTCTGTCGACAAGAGAATTTCCGGCAGGATCCGAAAGCGCAAAGAGCCTCTTCTTTCAGCTAAACGATGGCAGAACAAGAAGCATCTCAACAATTTCTGACCGAATTGGAAGCGTTGCGTTACGAACCTTACTACTATCAAGAGGACAATATCTTGAAATCTCCCTATCTGCCTAATCCTGCGCTTTATACGTTCTTAAATCTAGATCCTCTACTCAAACAGTTCAGGAAAAATGCAGAATCATTTCGTGAAATGTACGTGCCTTGTCAACCAGAGTATTGTCTTCATTTTAACTTCATCCTTCGTCTTGCAATATATTGAACTTATTTGACATGTTGAATTGACTTTTACCTGTATGTTTTTCTGGATGCTAGCTGGAATTAATTACAGATTTTTTTTTGTTAAGTTCTATTTTGTTGATCTGCAATCTTCTGTTTCTTTACGACCCTAGAGCACATGAGGTGGAAAAGGAAACTTTTTCTATTGTAGTCCATCTCTGTAAAGGTCTGAATGTGCTGGAAAATATATGTTTTCTTCTCCTTCATGTGGTTAGTGCTTCTGTTTGGCCCTCAGAAAACCATTCATCCTCAGACCTCAGACTGGCTGCCATGGCCGATTAATGATCTGGAGAGGCCGTGTTTAGACTTTAGATATCATATTGACGAGGCCCCATCTTATAAAAAGGAGATGATACTAAAAGTAAAGGTTTTGAGCAAGATAAAATGACCTCAATAGACACTCAGAGTGTATCAATATTCATTAGTTTGCTTGTAGGGCTTCAACTAATTGAAAAGGTTAATAAAATCTTTCTTTCAATGAAAATTAAATAAAAAAACTGTTGTGTAAAGCCCCAGCAATCCAACAATCAATGATAATAATGGAATAGCTGAGAGTAGATGAGCGAATTAATTATGTATTACAAAGGAAAATGAGCCCTAATACAAAGCTGAACCATTATTAATAACTAAACTGTTTATTACACACATATAAAGATACATAAAAAAAATTGAAAACACTAAAATATTCAAAACATATAAGACAATTAATTAAAAACATAAAGATGTTTATTAAAACACACACGAATTTTAAAAAACATAAAACTAAAATTTCATACTATACAAATAATATTAATATTTAATAAACCCCCTATAACATGGCCTTGCGGGTTGTAAGAAAATGTGTTGTTAGGCTTTTTCGAGGGTGCCACAGATTGAGAGGTTTATTATCAGTCATGCTAGGTTTACAACATATTTCTACCCCAATGTTTTTTCAGGCAGACAAGTTTTTTCTGCAAAAACAATGTTTTGGTTGTGTTATTTTAGTCTGTTAGAAAAAGATTTTGTTAACACAGATTTTTTTTGCATTTCTTAACACAGATTATATTTTGTACTTAAGATGACATAAAGTCACACAAACAAAATCGTGCCTGTTTGAAAAAATCTTCCTGGTTTGAGAAAAAGTGTTAAAAAAGTAAACGTATTGTACAAATAAACTTATTTTACAAATAGCAAATTCTTATTTTCTAACTGCATTTCATATATGCAACTTCTGTTTCATTTATGTGCTCTTTGTTGTTATTTAGAGTGTCTGTCTAATTTTTCTGTTTTCAGGATAGTTATTAGTTTACCATTGATTGCTTTTCCTTCATCGCATTGTTGTCTAATGTACTCATCGTAAATGCATGTCTTAGAAACAAAATTGCAGGGAGGGACTTGGATAACGTAAAATATTGCAACTTCCCTATGTTGAATGAGATTACAAATGGGTTCAAGAAAGAGAACTTTATTGCAAAAACTTTGTTTGGTAGCTTGTACAGAGGCACTATTGTTCAGCAAGGCTCAAGAAACCGACAAGTGCTAGTGAAGACGTGGGATTTTTACCGAACGCATTCTGGTGTTGGCAATGCTTACTATGCGGTGTATCCTTCTACATTCTATGTATGTGCAATTTTTTTCCTTAAAACATGTGCTCGAGTAAAAAAGGGATTTAGATTTACATGGTATCTAGTAATTGAAGCTTTGTATGGTAGGCTGAAATCAAGCTACTTCTTCAAAAGGAATTGGGAGGACATGATAATGTCGTGAATATGATAGGATATTGCCTCGAGAAGAAGCTTGCAGTAATATATGACGGGAAAGCTAATAAAGTCTTGTCTCAGTTGCTAAAGTCTGGTAGGTACTTTCTCTACCTAGGCACTGTTGTAAATACATTTGAATGTTTTGACGCTTATGCTATCATCACATAATTTAGATAACTTTGATTGGGATGGGCGAATGAAGGTGGCACTTCAACTAGCAAAGTTTTTGGAGTGGTTGCATGCAAAACACATTATACTTGGTGCTATTTCTGCTGATTCAATTTTGGTAGATGAGGTTGTTGGTGGATTGTATTTCTCATTATTATTATTACTTTTGTATTGAATAAATTTCACTTTCTTATTTGGGGTTAAGCAAGTATTCTTTCATATGCAGGAATATAATGTAGCATTTTTTGAGTTGGGGCTCACTAAGTGTGTATTGGACTCCAGAAAAGGAGAATCTACAGGTGATCTCAAAATGTCTTATGCTCAATTTGCCGCTGCAGAAGATAAATCAGGCATGTATGCTTAGGATCTTTTATTATTTATATGCTGAACTGGGAACATGAGTAGTTTTTTTTGCATCATAACTTGCGTTCATTCACATATCTCATACTGGTCAAATTTAAATAGACAAAATTGTCAAATAAGTACACATTAGCTTGTACGTAATGGAGTAAAAAGTACATTATATTGTATATGATATTCATAAGGATATAAACTTGGTCTTTTATCGTTAATTGAGTACAATTATGAATTTGACGTTAAAAATGTAATTGTGGCAAACGGTGGAGTCTAATTCACACCACATCCACCTTGTCCACAACAACATTGAGTTGCCGTCTCGAGCCTCAACTTCTCCGGGCATCTTGAACCTACAATCAGTCAAGACCCGTTGATTCTCATCCACTAATTAATGCAATCCGGATAATACCGCGGATACAAGGCATCTCTTTTTCTTCTCTAATTCCAACTCCGACAAACAGATCACACAATCGACCCTTTCTTTACCGACCTTGGCCACCAGCAACGCCTTTATGGTCACCTTCATTGTCGAAACTGCTCCCTTTATAGAGGACGATCTTGAATCTGTCCTACGCAGTGTCTAGAAATGGTATTGTTCTGGTTATCGCGTTCATGGCTGCGGTCACGATGAGAACAGAAACCGTTGCCCAGTAATAATAACGGTAGAAACCGTTACCCAGGGCCAATAGGGTGAGATACAATTTTATTAACTGATAAGCAAGAATGAATCCTAACAAGGGGTTTAAATACTCATCTACTAATTCCCAAACTAGGAAACAATCATAGAAATCCTAATCAACTCCAAATATGAAATAGAAGAATAGAGATCTTAATAAACTCCAAATAGGAGACAAATAATAGAATTCCCAATTAACTCCAAATAGGAAACAAATCAGGAAAATTATAAAGAATACAAATTAACTAAACGGCCCGCAACCAGCCCACGAAGGTGGGCTCAAGCCCGTCCCAACCATCAGTAAACCTACGGGGGCCTCTGTCTCTCTTCCTCCAAGCCCAGCTAATGTTTTCTATCAGTTCCACCCCCTTTCAAAACAAACTTGTCCTCAAAGTTGAAATTTGGAAATCGGCTCACATTTGTCCCCGGGCGCTGCACAGTATATTCAGGAAAGCTGTCACTCGATCCCCTTATGCTGTGACCATTCATGGTCGTGGTGTTACCCCCACTTGGTCGCGAAAAATTGCCCGAACGCGATTCCGTATTGCAGGATTGGCTCTCCTGGCCTACATTCTTAAAGGGCCGATTCCATTGCTATCTCCAGATTTTTTGCCACAACAACCGTGAGGATCCCCGAATCAGCCTTTTCAGCCCATTCAAGAAATATCTGAGATAATGATCATCAGACAAACCCGGGAACCTGGCTGGCCAATTGAACAAATAGTGTATTGTATTCCTCCATTGTACCCATCTGTTTGACCCAGGACAGTTCTTCAAACCGGCTACCCTTGAATCGGGAGTCGAATCGAGCCACCAGTGTTTGTGTGAAATGACCACCAGTTCAAACGGGGCATGGCCTCGTTTCCTTGCTTTCAACCAGGTCATTCAATATAGGGCAACCCCTTCCATGGAAACCACAAGTGTTGCTATTTTTCTTTCCGCTGGGGTCCCGTTTAGTTCAAACTGTTGTTCAACCCTAACCACCCAACCGATAGGGCTATCGCCATCTAACGAGGGCAGCAAGGCGAGTGCGGTGCCCCACGAACCACCATCGCAAGTGCACGCCCATTCTGCGGCGATGAAGGATGCAGTCCATGAGGGCTCCTTCATCTCCGGTGGTGGACCTGGTTCTCTGCCAGTTGGATGCCTTGCACGTCCAGCTTCTCCCCGCCAATTTCGTCAAACGATCGCTTTGAGATCTCGTCATCCCGACAAGAATAGGATCCGGCAACTCCTTTCTATCAATTTCATCACCCTTCCCACTTCCTTGTTTTAAAGACAGATCCACGAGATGCCCTATCTGGGAGATAAAAATCACAACCGCCTGAAACGTAGAATCCAGTTGTATATCGAGTCCACCCAACTGATATTCAAAATCAAACTCATTAGCCCAGCTCAATCCAGAATCAGATATTTCAGCAACTGTTGTCTTCAGTATGGAACAAGAATTCCTATCTTCAATGTATAACTTCCACAGTTGGTAAGTTTCAAAACCAGTTTTCAAGATTTTCTTCCCCATCTTTACTGCACTTTCCTTTACTATCACCACCAACTTGGCATCAGATTGAGTGAACATGGACTCTTCAATTGCAATATACTTTGGATCATCTTGCACCCCTGATTTTGTCAAAGCCCCCAGAAATATTACAGTGTTGTCAACCCCCAGAACTTTATCCTGATTTCCAGCAGAAGCAACACCCTTTACCTCCACAGATTGTCCTTCACAAAACATAAAATAACCATCACCAGTGTCCTGCAGAACCTGAGTCATGGTTTTCACTTTTCAGTGATATCTCCATGAATTTCAAGTATGGATCCCCTTGAATCTTCTGTATTTTCCCATCCTCCTTCCATTTAATTGTTTGACTTTGAAAATTGACCTACACATCACCTAGGCTTGCCAGCCATTCCATCCCAAGTACCATATCAGTGCCCCCCACCCAGTTCCAGGATGTAAAAATCCTGCTGAATTTTAGTGTCTTGCAAGCATAATCTGATTTTCTCACATCTGCCATTGTTCATCACTTTATCCCCATTCCCCGTCTGTACTTTGTAGCTGGCAATGGTGTTGTAGGGTATTTTCAGCCCTCTGAGCTATGACGTTATCTGTAGCTCCACTGTCTATTAGCACCTCAACTGTTGCTCCCCTGAACCCCTAGGATGCTGCCTCTGACTTTGAAAGCTCTCATGGAAGGAATGCCTTCTCTACTCATCTATGATAACTGCAGGGATTTTGACTCCATGATGATTTCTTCTTCCTCAGGTATTTCTTCTTCTGTATAGTCTGGCTCCCTTTCTTCTTCTGAATCTTCCACTAAAATCATCTTAGACCATTTGTAGTGGTTAAGAGTCTATATTGTTAAATTTGGACTCCGTCCATATGAAAACAATGTTTAGACTCCGTGAATACTGTTTTTCCCTGCATCCGTGCACCGTCAATAAAATACACTCTGCGTATTTTTTTGCATATCAATTTAGTAAAACATTAACTAAATTATTATAATTAATATTTTACTTTTAATTTTTTCCCTGAATAATCATGAAACAAAAAACACACATTTCGATGTAAAAATAAATAAATTTCTTTAATTTTTTTAATGTTTTTCGATCAACAAAAAATCAACTTAGTTCAAGTAATGTTCGATTATAAAATATTCAGTTATTTTTTAAGGCTCTATAAATGAAAATTTTGTGTTTCATATTTTTTGGGCTCAAACAAAGTTCAACAGCTTAAAATTCAGTTTTTCTTTTTCATTTTATATATTACATATTGGTGTCATATGAAAGATCTTAAAAATTCATGAATTTTGATATATTTCTTGAAAACATTGAAGAACAAACACAAAAGTTAGAAGAGTGAAATAATTTGGGGTAATAATGATGTCACCATGATGGAAGCATGTTTTCTTTCCAAGCAGCGTATGAAGCTGCGTGCCGGCCCCTTCCCTCATTTTAATTTCCTTTTCATTTACTTTTTGGCAGGCAATACACCTTCCAAATATAAACCCTTCCATCCCCTCCATTTTTACTACCCTCCATAACCCACCAATGTATGAAATTAGGAGTCCAAAAATGCCATTTTAACATTATGGACTCCTAATACCTCACCACTCCATTTTGCAGGAATGATCCCTACTCCATTTCTCACTGCATTTGAAACACAGTCCCTTCCTACTTCTCTCTTGGTATTCATCTTGTGGTAACTGAGGTCCAACTCGTTTTATACTTGAGGAGTGAATTTCAGTCACCTTCTTCCCTCCTAAATTAAACCAAGCCTGGTTAGTTGTTTTGATTTTGACCCTCTGAACTGTCAGCTTTTGCTCTGGAACCTTCTCCCCACATAGGAGGTTTAGAATAAACTGGTCCTTTATCTCTTCCTTCCAATCTCTCATCAGACTGCCTATTTACAAAAAATGCTTCATTCCTTTGCTCAACCAACAAGGCCACATCCATCACTTCAGCTAGTGACCTGGGGTTATATAGTTTCATTTCAGCTTTGATTTCCGGCTTAAGTCCAGTGAGGAATACTCCCCTTAACATTTTTCTGGGGAGCAATTATCATTTCAAATTCATCCATATAATCTCTGACTGTCCCAGTTTGCCTCAAGCTCAACATAGGTCCGTAAGGGTTCTGTAGAAGGTCAGGTTGGAATCTACGAATAATAGATTCCTTAAGTGATTCCCAGTTCTTCTCCTCGGTCTGATGTTCCCACCATTGGAACCAATTCAGAGCCCGGTCTTCCATGGCTACTACAGAAACTTCCAGCTTCTCCTCCTCAGTAATGTGATTCAATCTAAAGTACCTCTCCATCCTTACTAGCCAGTTATAAGCCCCATCACCATTGAACAGTGGTAAATCGACCTTACGACCCGTATTCAATGGGAATCTAGCATACTCATCATGTCGTCTGTGATAAGCAGGATTCAAGTGAGCAGAAATACCTCTCGAGACCGCAGGGCTGTGCGAAGGTCGCGAATGATTACTGCTATGAGATCGTGACCTCCCTCTGACGGAATTCATCGCTCATCGTATCGATCCTCCCTGTCATGTTCTGCATCATTGCTCCATCCGTAACAGTGTTTCCTCCATTGTGATTCGACTGCGTTCCACTGCTTCCAAACGTTGCTCCATTTTTCCTCTCGTTCGAACCATCCACGATCCGAACGACAAATTTGGACAAATCTGGCGATGACTCAACAACTATCGATCACCAAACCAATTCTCTGATACCAATGATAGGAGTCATAGGACCACTGAAAAACAATACTCAAAACTGTATAGAATCAACTAGGAAAGTAGAAGAACTGATAAAAAAACTTTATTAATCAACAAGAACCGATCACCAGGGATAGAATGAACTATTTGAGATGCCTAGTCTTCAAGCCTAAGCCAATCTAAAATAACTGCCCCCTTATTTTAGCTGACTCCCCTTCTATTTATAGTCCATATCCACGCAGGGATAAAAGGAACTATTAGCTAGTTAATTAACTAATACTCCCTTTGTCCCCCTAATTTTGTCCTGTTTTACCTTTTTCGTCCGTCCCATTAAGTTTGTCTCATACCATATTTGATAATATTTGAGTGGTTACAATCTATTATTACTTTATTCACACTTTATATATTTAATACCAACTACACAATTCTACTTTTTCTTAAAAATCACACCACACCTCTTTGTCCCAAACTTAGGGGGACGGAGGTAGTAATAGACTTCTTATTCTTTCTATTATACTCTTTATTGAATAGGCCCACTGATTATTTATTCCTATCATGCGCATCAAGCCATCAAGTTTCTGATTCATCAAGGCCTGTTCGGCCTCGAACGCCGTCAAACGATTGTTGTGAGATCTCGTCATTTCGGCGAGAATGAGATCCGACGGGCTGGGCTAATTGATGAGAACAGAAATTATAATCAACCGTAGAAATCGTTGCCCAATAGTAATGTAGAAATCGTTGCCTAGGGCCAATACGTTGAAGGCCAATTTTATTAACGGTTAAGCTAGAATGAATCCAAACAAGAGGTTTAGATAGGAGTTACGAGTTAGGTCACCAATATTTCTAATTATAAGATATTGGACAAATATAAGACCTCTTTGTAATTATTCCAAAATAAACACCACCGTGTGAACATTTAGTAACTTATATGATCAAAATATCAAATATACTCTCCCTAACTAATACTGTATATACAATAACTAAATATTACTACCACCACCACCACTACTACACTAATATGTATGTACTACGTATCATTCTTCCAAAAATGCCCCAGGCAAGGAGCACAAAAAAGTATGACTTTTATAAATCTCTACCCAGTTACATTTACACTTTCGATCAATAACATTTTTTCGTTTGACTATTTAGCGTAGTTCTATTTTGGAATTTCAACAACACTTTCAGGAAAAAACATAGTGGTCATATTTTAGAATTTCAAACCTCATTACTCCTATTTAGAGTAGTTTCCCTCAATCAATTACAATTATCTACCGCCAAGTATAGTTACTGTCTTACTGACTCGACCAATTATAGTTACTCGCTCAACCAATTACAATCACTAAAGCTAGTTACAATTACCCATCTAACAAATTATAGTTACTCAGATCCAAATAGTTACAATCACCCGTTCTGACCACTTACAATTATCCAATTCAACCAGTTAAATGGAGCCAAAGACTTGCTATTTTTCGGCTTGAGAATATGATGGAATAAAGCAAAATGGCTCACTAAGCTTTCTGCACTTCTTTGTTATGAAGTAACAGTCAGTCTATGCAATTTTCGACGCATTTTTCACTATGGGTCATTCAGAAACAGTTTCTCTATGCTTTAGTACAGAGGTAAGACTCGTACATTCGACCCCCTCTTACCAAGGCCGGATTGGGCCAGTACAAAGAATATTTTTGAAAAAATATTCACACAGATTTTTAACACTAAAAATAGACATTTTTAAAATTTAGGCTGGGCCAGGGCTGGCCCCCTAGCTACGCCCCCTGCCTCTTACCCTACCGTAGGTGGGAGTCTTTGCGGCACTAGGGTAATGATGATGGTGAACCAGTTACAATTATTCAATTCAATTAATTACAATTACTCGACTCAACCATTTACAATTACTCGACTCAATCATTTACAATTACTCGACTCAACCAGGTACCGTTACTCTTTTTTTCCAATTACAGTTACATGATCCCAAATACTTGTTCCAACCAATTATAGTTACCGAACTCAACCAATTATAGTTATCTGACCCGATTAGTGATAATTATCTGATCCGACCGGTTACAGTTACCAAGATTGTCCAATTACAGTTACGAGGACATACTAGTTACAATTACTCGGTTCAATTGTGGCCACCGTTAGCCACCACCGTTAGCCACCACCACCGGTATCCACTAATGGCCACCACTCCCGTCACCGCCACTGCCGCCAACCACACCACCCCAACATGACTGCCTAGCCCCTAGCCACCAGCCCCAAGCCACCTTCCCAGCCCCCTCTTCGTCACTGCCACCACAGCCTGATCTTGCTCCACTGCTGACCAACTCCGACCCCTTCAGCCGCCCCATGTTGCCGCACACCAACTCTGAACACCCCAACCAACCTCGATCCACTCCTCCCTTGCCCACACCCACCGGGCCACCACAGCCTGATCAGATCTGGCCATCTGCAACCAAGCCGGACCAGTCAGCCCTTGGGGCAGCGCTGCCCCAGCCCTGACCTAGAAACCCTACTGCGGACCACCTCTGCTGTCTGACTTTGTTGCAGATATGAAATCGAGCAACCGCAGCCTTGAATAAGAAATAGAGGATGTCGTCGAGGTTGAAGTCGCCGATAATAGCTCACCACCATCGCTGGAGCTCGGTGCGGCATGGACTCCGTCGTCCTAGGTGCAATGCGCCATCTCCTTGCAGAAAAAGCTGGGAACAGTGGAGAAGAGTCGACCGGTGGAGGACTCGGTCACAGAGAGAAAACGGAAATACGCTTCACGGCATTTTAGATATTTGTTATCCCTTTTTGTCTTTTTTTTTTGTCCAAAACGGGATTAGGTCCTAGTTTTGTCTAATCAAAACATGTGAGTCTTATTTTTTATGTTTATTCATTTAAATACCCATCATTTGCAATGGAGCCAAAGATTCATTATTTTTTGGCTTAAGAAGCAGCAGTCGGTCCATGCAATTTTGGACGTGATTTTCACTGTGGGTCATCCAGAAACAGTCTCTCCCCCCTTTATTACAGGGGTAAGACTGCATACATCCGACCCCCCTTACCCCACCCTACCCCCCTTACCCCACCCTAGGTATATGAAAATGAAATGATTCGTTTAAATACCCATCTACTAATTTCCAAACTAGGAAACAAAATCATAGAAATCCTAATTAACTCCGAATATGAAACAGAATAATAGAAATCCTAATTAGAGAAATAATAGAAATCTTTATTAACTCCAAATAGGAAACAAATAATAGGAATCTTAATTAACTCCAAATTGGGAACAGATCAGGAAAATTATACAGAATAAAAATTTAATTAAACGGCCTGGCAACCAGCCCATGAAGGTGGGCTTAAGCCTGTCCCCACCTTCAGTAAACCCACGGGGGCCTTTGCCTCTCTTCCTCGAAGCCCAGTTCTTGCTTTCTATTAGGTCACTTCACGGTGATGCAGAGACGACATAGAAGCAGCGGCAAAATTCAGTATTATGTTAGCCAACTCAACCATTTTAACGTCTTAATCTAGTGGATGTACTCAATTGATGCTAAAAGATCGAGTTTATGTGCTTATGAATATCAAATGTAATATAATGTACTCTTTACACCAGTGCAGACAAGTTAATGTACTCATTTGACACTTTCTCAATTTAAATATAGAAACCAACAAGTATGACAATAGAGTAATCCTCCAATGGTGATGAAACTCCAAGTTTTAACATGGTATAAAGAGTCGATTGAACTCTAACAAACATCTTTCTTACTAAGACTAAAAAAAATGACCCTAATTTTGGTTCCAGTGAGCCACCATATTTATGTGTCATGTGAGCCACCTATATACAAACAAACATACTCCCTTTGTCCTTAATTATGTGTCTTGTTTTCCATTTTGGTTTGTCTCAAAACGAATGTCCTGTTTCTTTTTATGACAAGAAATATGTGGTTCATACTACTTTACCCTATTATACTAAAACAACAACCATAATTGTCATTTTTCAACCACTTTATTCATAATTGTGTCAATCCTAAACCGGACACATAAATCAGGACGGAAGGAGTATGACATTAGACCATTCTTCTGGTTAGCTATAACCAAGTCACCTTCCATTTGGTGATATGAGCTTTAAGTCTCTTATCTATAAGATTGGTCTTCAGCAACTTCTAATTATGTTCTTGAACTAGTGCAGATACATGGACTTGTAAATCAGACGTTTTTGCCTATGGTTCTGTACTCTCCCTCCTGATAAGGAAAGAGTATTATGGGAATGGCAATTATAGTAGCGCAAGAGCATTTGCATTGCAGGACTTCAAAAAAAATCAGATTCTTGTGAATAGAGATTTTCAGGTGGATGAAGCTGATGCATATCAAATCACAGAGTTGACATTGAAATGTTTGGAGCCGGATCCCGATAATCGAGTTGATATGGGTCATGTTGTTCACTTCTTAGAGCAGTTGGCACTTGATCACATTGCCAAGAAACAGAAGTTGAACTAACGAAAGGCTGTTATGGTTTTCATTAAGTTAGCCAGTGGTTTATCGTTATATTGCATTAGCCCATTAAACCTTTGATTGGAGGCTGATTATGTATGACATGTGAAATGAAATTGTGTGGCAAACTATTAATTTTAACAGAAAATATGCCTTCTTATTGTCTGGTACACTTTAAAAGTGCATATGCCTTTTAAATTTTGTGGTAAATTTTTCATCTCTATTGTTAAGTGTCTGGCATGTCTCAATGTTTGAGAGGATAGCTCACAGTCACCATCTTTGAGACTTTGACCTAGGGATGACAATGGATCGGGTACTGTAAGACCCGGACCCGTTCCGTGACTTCATTTGATGGAGCCGCCCAGTCCTGTGACCTGCATGGGTCCAAACTCATTGATCCATGACCCGCCCCATGCGGGGCGTGTCCGCCGTGCTCCGCCCCGCCGTGACCTAATTAGGTAGTATGCAGTTTTATTTGCGTGAAGTCAATATCACTTAAGACTACTGATTACATAACGTTTATCTTTTAATAATTATACAAAATTTGATATATGAAATCAAAGCTATAATATGCTAAAATATTAAAAAGAAAAGTACTTAGACTTGAATAGTTAATCTATTTATATCAATAATAATTGAATATAAAAAATGCCCGAATTATATATATATATATATATATATATATATAGAGAAAGAGAGAAAAGATCCCATGAGAAGTTCTAATTAGGCTGAAAAGTGAGAAGTGATTCCTGCCGTTCGATTAACTCCTCTGAACTGTCCGATTAGTTTAGATATCTTCCGTCTCATTAATGGCAACGTTGTAATATTTTCAAACTTTATAACTTTTCTGCCACTCATAATCCTTCTCTTTCCTCTCCCGATCCAACATCTTATCCTTTTCATTCTTCTCCCGATCTCCTTCTTCAGATCAATCTCCTAAGATAAAGTCTACTCATCGATCCCTTGAGGCTTCATATTTAGCGTGTTGTGATGGCCACACCAGGCGGATTCATTCCAGGACAATAGTGATGAGTTGTTGTCGAGTTCTCCTGCTATGGCGACATCCTTCTCTTACTCACAGGTCATAAATTGGCTCCATTTTATCTTGTGCAATGGAAATCAGTATAGAGGTATATTTGGTCAGGAGAAATGCTATTGCAGTTTCATCTTCACGAATTCCAAATTACCACTCTCCTTCCACTCCATTTGTTCGCATAAGAATTATGGTTTTTAAGTTATACTACGTATCTACTAACTGTTTGTTGAAATGCTCCAATGAAAAATGATATCAATAGTTTGTACTTTAAAAAAAGAATGTGTATTGAAATGCTACAATAATTTATTTATGACCTTACGATGTGTATTAGCGTATATGTGTTGTTGATAGTGGAATACAACCCAGTAAACATATGCCTTCCCAGTTTAGTATTTCTTTTTAATTTAAAGCAATAATCATTTTTCTGTCGCAAGTTGGATTTTGGGCTGAAAGTATTTTGAAAATCCTTGGATTTATTGTTAGATATATTGATTTTCATATTTGTTCTGATGAATGTATTATGAAAACCAAAGGCTCTAGTGTGATAGAAGACTTAAGGACATTTAACTTTTGACAAAAATGAATATCCAATGTATGGGAGGGGCTTTTTCCCTTAAAGATTGTGTTTCATATAGGGTTGTTATTCTTAAACTAAAGGTTAAGTCTTTTAAGTTAAAAGTTACACCCATTCTTTTACAAGTTATTCTTGAATGTTGATTATATTGTTGGTTGTTGTTTGTTTTGTTCTTTTAAAGATGGCAAGATTATTACCTCAAATAGTAGACCAATGTGCAAATATGCGCAATCGTGTGGGTTCGAGTCTCGCATAGCCTATGTAATTACTACATATGATGACTACTCACTTGGTCTAATGTCTTTTCACTGAATTGGGTTGATTTAAATACCAAGGTAGTATTGCTTATTGTCACTTATTAGTAATTCTAATATATTTTGAATGTTTTGCTACTTCTATTTCATGGCCAGCGATGTCTTGGGCTCTTGACAGTGCCTCGATTTCATGTAAAAAAGATACAGATCTCGAGAAGAAAGGGCTCACAATAGGGGGTTTTTTCTTCTGGTTTAGCAATCTGGTGAGGAGATGTTTTTGAGAACCAGGATAGAAAATGCGCTTAAGTTGGCTTTCAAGATGCCAAATACCATGATGCTCCCTTTCGGGCTCTGTGGGTGCCAAGAACAGAACACTCCTGGGAGAGAGTTTGGGGATATTGAAGATGATGGCAGAAGTGGGACCCACAATTCAAGCCCAAAAGATGTGCAGCAAATGCCTTTACATAGTTCTTCATTCATAGTTTCAGTAGATGAATGGCAGACTGTGCAATCTGGTGAGGATGAGATTGAGAAGTGGTTGTTAAGCTCAGATATGCTTGAATTTACTGAGCAAATAGGACTTTATACCTTCAAAGGGATATACAAGGGGGGAAAACGCCGGGATTGAGAAGCTCAAAGGGTGTGAAAAGGGGAACTCATATGAGTTTGAGCTTAAAGGAGATTTGCTGGAGTTGATGACTTGTGAACATAAGAGTATATTGGATTTTCATGGGGGTTTGCATTGATGATAATCATGAATTGTGTATTGTCTTTAAGGTAATGAAAGGCGGGTCTATTCATGACTTTCTCTCAAAGAACAGAAAACTGCACACTAAAGAGATTATGAAGATTGCCTGTGATGTGGCTGAGGGACTTGCATTCATGAATGATCACGGAGTTCCCTATATAGACCTAAATACGCAGAAGATCTTGTTCGACAAATCTGGGGATGCTTGCCTTGGCGACATGGGAATAGTGGCTGCTTGCAATAACACTGATGGCTATAGGTGGCTATGGATTATGAAACTGATGGCTATAGGTGGCTAGCTCCTGAGATCATTACAGGTGACCCTGAAAATATTACAGAAACATGGATGAGCAATGTATATAGTTTTGGGATGATATTATGGGAATTACTGACGGGGGAGGAAGCGTATTGCTCTTTTTCACCAGTGCAGGCTGCTGTAGGGATAGCTGCTTGTGGCCTTAGACCAGAAATCCCCAAGGAGAGTCCTCAAATTCTGAGATCTTTGATGACCAAGTGCTTGAACAATTACCCTTCTAAGTGTCCTCACTTCTCTGAAATTTTATCAACTCTGACCCATCCGTGCAACAGTAACAACACCAATACTACTAGGTAATTATGAATGAATGTTTTCCATTCTCTGTACAAAAAATATACATTATAAAGAAGGTTGTTGTTTTTCTTGTTAAAAAAAGAAGAAGAAAAAGATGCTTTAACGTTGATTACCTTGTCACAAATTGTTCAATCAAGGCTATTAGCTCAATGGGTAAAGCAATGTGCAATTTTGCATGTAGGTGTGGGTTCGAGTCCCGCATAGCCTAAATTTGCAGATTATTACAAGATCAATGTTCATGAATTAATGTTGCCTACTCACGTATTTTTTTTAGTTTTTGAAATCAAATACTATTTTTTATTTATTTATAAGAACACAAGAGGGCTATTGCATAATTTGTATTTCTTTGACACCGTCCACTGAAGTACACATACCACTATTGTGCCCAAATATACATGATATTCAGGCAAAAAGCTCCCAAAACTTCAATAGTACAGGATATCAATTCATTTTAGAATGATGTGAAAAACAAAACAAAGAAATTTGGAGTAAAATGCTCGGTGAGCAAGAACTAGAATGAACCTACTACCTACACAGTAAACGTATCATCATCACAAACACATTATTAAAACTCATTCTCATATTTTATTTCAATCCAAAAGGATCCTTAAGAGGTCACACCAACAGTGCATTTATGTACTACAGATAATATGACTTCCTGTGATTATTCTCATATTAACAATGTGATTGAGAACAATGTTATTATAGTTAGTGCCCTTATTTCAGTCCATGTACATGAAATTCCAACTGTTCGTAAGACAGGAGTTTATGCTTGTGTAACACGAGCAGTCCCAGCTTTTGATTTTGAAAGTGAAACAGAGGCCCAGACAGACCTTACTGAGAATATCCCTGTTAATCATACTTTATGTGATCATACTCATGTTTCCACTGTGATTGAGAATAATGATATTACTGTTAATGTCCCTATTTTGGTTCCTAAACATGAAACTCCAGCTGTTGAAGTAAAAGGTAAGGTACCTCTTCTTCAATTAAGATCAACTGCAATGTCCTATAATGTCCTTCATCTTATATCCAACCTGAACATGACCAAACTCTAACTAATACATACACATAATCTATAAGATTCTACAGTTAAACTAAATGAAGTATTTACATGAAATTAAAATTGGGAAAAAATTAAATCATCAATCTGCTATTGAGATAGCCTATGTGAGATTCGAACTCACATCTTTCGTGTAGTCACACGATGCTCTTCCAATTGAGCTAATAGGCTGTAAGAAAAGTATGTAACTTTCTATCCTAAAAAGTTATCATGTTACGTTTAAAAGTTAACCATTTTGATCTATTTGTCATTTTAATTATCATAGTTTTAAAGTTTCTAATTAAAAAACATAAGTTGTTAAGTTTGATATGTAACATATCATTTTTAAAACAAATAGATCTAAAGCAAATTGTTGCAACACTTAAGATAAAATATAGTGCAAAACCTTTTTGTAATATGTATGTACATAACCTTTAATTAACATTATCTGAAAACATCAAAATCAGTAATGTTATATAACTTATGCTAAAATAAGTAACTTTTACTATGAAGATGTTGCATTTCTATTAGAAATTATATTTTTAAGGTTAGGAATTATACTATTCTTACGAGCAAGTCTTGATCATCTGTGGCTTTTGTTTTTATGTTATGAGTTATGTTATATGCCATTAAAGTTATATAATTTATGCTAAAAGTTTCTAATTAGGTCACACTATTACTCAATTATCATACATGGTATTCACTGACTACCATATCTCTATATATTCTAAAACATTGGATCTATTTTAAAGTAAAAATGAAACGAAAAAGAAATGGTTGAGAACAATAAAAACAATGCAATTTAAAAGAAATTATGGAATAAAAACATAACTTTTAATAGAATATTTATAACTTTTAATAAAATATTCGTAACTTTTAATATAAGTAGACGCACTCCCACCTATAATTGTTAATCCTTACCAATGATTATTCATATAGAGATGTTTGAAACATCAAATGCATCAACTCACATTTTTGCCTCTTGCTCTATAAAAGTAATAAAGTAAATAATTATGCTATCGCAAGTGTTTACAATCTGCAATTCTATTTAGAGATGTTGCAGAAAACATTACTTTTACTCAAATTACTATAACTTGTAAACAAAAAAATGTAACTTTTAAACCCAAAGGCTTAACTTTGGCTTAAACTCTCAAGACCTCTACAATAATCAACACACTTTCAAGTTAACATAAACTAATTAATAAAGTCAGAATTATAAAATACAGAAAGAAGGTCATAACTTATAGTCTAATTTTAAATCAAATAGAATTTAGAGAACTATAAGATTACTGGGATAACAATAAGAATTTAGAGGCTCATGTTGTCCTTGTCTTAAAAAAAAGGTTAAAGTTAAAAAAGATCTTTTAACAGCACACTTTGAGTTAGCTAGTACTATGACTTATACATAGTAATAAGAATTCCAACTATAATTTTTTGTCATTCCAAAATAGATACATAAAAGCAAAACGTACTAATATAACCAAAATAATAACTTCTAAAAACTAAATGGAAACTTGTAGAGAGCCAATTTAAATGAAAACAAAGCAAGACTGATAAATTAGGAAAATGTCATATTACCTCAAATACATTCATTAGAAACAACACATTTATCCCCATCATGATTCTTAACCACCCTTATCATAAATATAACTATTAGTCAATTATGCTCAACTTCTAAAACGAAATCTATAACTTCCAACTTCCAATTCATAAATACGATAAGAGCAGTTGAAAAACTATATATTCACTCTAATTATCTTGAGAACATTCAATGGTAACAATGACGAGCCTGTGCCAAAATGATTCTTTACCGCCCTCGTCAACGCAATTACTACATTAGTAATCTTAACTTATAAAGCTAAATCAATAACTGTTTGCCAATTTAGAAAGCTAAATCGAGAAAGTTTAAACAAAGGAAATGATATTGAGTGACTGTAAATTTGATTTATTTATAATTAAAACCACATTTTAGTCTTCTGAACACGTGTAGTAAACTAATGCTCATTGAGACAAAATATCAAGCACTTAGTGTGATTGAGAAAGTGATGATGGCATTGAAGGGGAAAAAATAATAGCAATTGATAAACTAATGGCAACAAGTGAAAGATGAGAGCAATATCAAATCAAATTTTTCGTAGTAGCAATTGAACCACACACTATTAATTGATTGTAAATTGCATACAATTCTAAACCTGAAATTCAATAAAAATTGAAGAAACCACAAATTGTAGGTAAATAACACACAATTTCAAAGAGTGCTCTGAAACAGCCACATCAAAGCTTGAACGTATGTAACAAAATCCGATACAGTAACATAATTCAAACCTCACTTGTAGACTGGAAAAAATATTTCTGTAATTTGTGCTCAATCCACACCGTTAAGCGTTTATTTGTGAGAAATTTTATTGAAATTAAACTCTAATCTTCTATTCCGTAGTTGATCTGGAGGGAGAAAATATTACCAGAATGAGAATCGTGTGCCTTTGTGCGATGGAAGAACAGGCTAACAGTCTCCAAAGGAGAAATTTTGTATCTCAGATTCTCACCTTTTGAATTTCAGATAATCATCGCCGAAACAATCCGTCGAGTTTCACAACCGAATCCAACAATTGTTTTAGATATACACTCAGATGCGCTCCTCCAACTTTGATCAGCGAAAAAAATTGAAAGAAGAAATTTCCAGCGATTTAAGTTTTGTAATTGATAGGAGAGAAGAATGTTATGAAACCAGCGATAACTAGAGAAGTCGATGAAGAGAGGATCGGATATACATGAGGAGAGAGACTCTTTTGAGCTAATCCAATAGGACCTAACGAGAACCGTAAGATCTGATCTAATCGGTCGGCTCCAATTAGTTCTCAGTTTTCAGTTTAAGAGGGCTTCTCATCCGATTCACTCTCTCTCTCTATATATATATATATATATATATATATATATATATATATATATAGAGGGAGTGGTTCTAATGAGAACAACTCTTATTGTGAGAAATGAGAACATATCTTAACCTTCCATCTTAATGAATAAACGGATGAAATTTGTGGCATACACCTAATTTTGGTGTGGATGTGCGTATAAGATCAAATCCATTATTAATGGGTGCAACATTGATAAGATAAAAAGGGTACGATTGTAATTGTTCAATTTTTTTAATGATCACAAGGTAATGCAGTACGGTTCCCACTTTCTCAAAATATCCGAAATTTATGCACAGTTAGAAGCACTCAACAAAATAACGTTTTTTTAATATGGAAAGCACTAGATTGTAGCAATATATTGCATTAATGTTTTTAGCAAAAAGTGCATTGGAAAACCGAGGATGAGTTCATTGCAAGAATAACACGTGAACAAGTATCAAATGCACAATCACCACTATCTAATTCAAATTAAAAAATTACACGTAGTTTGCATGTGACACACAAGAAACATGTGAAAATAAATCACAACAGCTACATAACATACAAGAACGAGTATCTATCGCACAACCACAAATGTCTAATGCACATAGTTCGTATGTAGGCACCATAACAAGTATCTTGAGCAGTATCTAATGCACAAGTATCTTGAGCAATATCTAATGCCCAACAATTAAGAATTAACATCTAGCATGTAATTAAGAACTTCATTCAATTTAAATTAGTAAGTACCACACCAGAATCAATATCTAATGCATAATATGTTTTTACGCTCAAGAATCAACATGTAACACATAATATGTATGCAATACACAAAAATATATATCTAACACACAACCATGAATATCCAATGCACATGAACTAGTATCTAACTCACAGTTCGTATTCAACACAAAAATGGAAAAATGTGATAAATTTAGATGCATTAGGAATATATGGTTGTGCAAATAAAAAAATTAAAAAAATTAGGAAGTGATAATAATAATCCAAATGTTGCTACAAAGTAAAATAATATATTTGATTATAAAACATGCCATTGGTGCAGCACGTGAAATTAATGTACAATAACATATGTAAAGAGTATTGCAAACAAAATTATTTTTAGAAGGAAAAAAATGCATAAATATAATTCTATTATAGTATAGTAACAGATATTGTGTATGTTCACTCATAATATGTTTCACCAGTTCGATCGTGCTATCTTATTATATTATTAATATTAAATTATAAGATATAGAAGATCACCCAATAATAATAATGATGCTTTCACAAAAACGGAAATCATTATTACGGATGG